TGGCTTTTTTTCCCGTGACTGCATCCTTTCTAAAATACACAAGGTTTCTGCTTTGCCAGTTTCAGTGTTCATGTTTTATTCACTTTTCTGTTCAACCTGGCTATGGATGAGAAATGCAGCTTACCTTTTGGTACTGCTCCTCACTGAGGAAACCAACCAAAAGCAGAAGAGTTGCTGTGGCTTTTATCTAATTCTTTTTATTAGATTTGCCCTGCTTCACTCTTTTCTCTTCAACTGTGATGATTGTCTTTTGCTTAATGTGAGATTTGCCGTTTAGTCAGCTCCAAAATCCCATGAAGAGGCTGATAAGTTGGTGGCATCCTCTCATCATTACTGTACTTGGCCAGTAAGAACTTTCCAGCTCTCAAAAACTACTCCTTTGTACAATAGGTTGTAAAGAGAACAGTGTTTTGCTACTTTGAGCTGTAAAATGATATTTGCACAGTTTATTTGCATTTACTTCGCCTTATTTTATTCTCTCAATCAGGAGCTAAGGGAATTGTGTAGCAATTGGGCTCTAAGTGAGATGAATCTAGCAGCTGGGAAACACTCCGTTCAGAGCAAAATAGATAGTGTATGTTCACAATTGCCTAAATAACACGTGTTTTAATGCAGGACTGTGTGTCATACTCATTTTTTTCTATAAAATATGCACTATGATAGGAAAAGTCAACTTACCGGTGTTCATGGGGAATCCTTCCAAGACCTTACTTTCAAGTGGATAAAAGAGTACAAATTTGGAATAGCCACAGGTGAATACAAACAAATTGGCTAGTCCGTTAGCATAGCTGTCCAGCTGCATCCTAGGCTCTCAGGCCACTCCAAAACCACAAGCTCCACCGCCTCAGAAGCCTGCCAAGGAGCCAGCTGCTGCTAATAAAGCCGACTCTACAACTTGGCATCTGGGGCCTGTGGTTCCCATCCAAAAGGAATTGTATGTGAAAAATATTTGAAATTTGTCTTTTTAAGTAGTGTTTTGCTTTGGAAGAAAAATGCTTTAGACTAAACTTGCAACAAGTGAAGAACTACATAAGAGTACTGTGGTTGCCATGGGAAGATAAATACCGTTCTTGTGTAAGGGGGTTGGATGTTCGAAGGAGGAGTGTTATTCGTTTAGTAACCAGGAGGCTTCTGGTTCAGCATTTCTGAGTTACTGAGTAAGAAAGACCAAGGTATCTCATTATTCATGTTTAGCTGTTTATGCTTGCATGGGGCGCTGTGTCAGAGAGCTCAACAGTAGGGTTGAAGTGCAAGGGTGCGTTCCTGAGACTGTAATAAGAACTAAGTACATTAATTTCTTTTAAATAATGAAAAAGGAGAAATTTCATTCATTTTTCAAAGATGAAAACAAATCCTATTAGCCGACCATGCTAAATTAATAAGCTGCTTGGAATGATCTACAAACCAGTTCATTCCCCCCACACTCCCCATTGAATAATGAAGCATGAGAATTGAAAAATGAGTTGGTTGCATTGGTTACTTGAAAAATTAACGCCAAAGCCAGCTGTGAACTCCAGCTCCTTTTTGAAGTAAAACATGTAGATTTTGCCTAATACTTTTCTCTAGCGCTGCAAGTCCTGTGCTCGGCTGTGTTGGCAAAATGTCTTTCCCAGATTTCTGCAGCTGGTGTCAGGGTGTTTTGAGCCAGTCTGGGAAGTGGTGCTCCTCATGGCAGAGAAGTTAAGCACTTTGCCCCCAGCTACAGAGGGGGCCAATGTCAGAATAAGGCACAAATTTCCTGCCGTTGGGTGCGAAGGCAGCTCCCCAGGCAATGCCCCCCTTTTGGCATTGTCCGTGATCCGTATCTGGGATCATCATCAGGTTGCCATTCATTTCTTTCGCTCTAGTTATTATGTGGAGATTAACAAACCAGACTCTTTGCTCATTTGGAGGCAAAACACATACTTCTGCCATCAGTCATACACTTGTCAACTCAGGAAACAAGAATTCAAAGCTTTCTTCTGACCTGAAGCTTTTAGTCTGGCAACCGTCCAGTAGATGTCATCAGCCCTAGTACAGCCAGTTTTGTCATCTTTCTGCAAATGGTATTCTGGGGTACTGGATATGCATGAAAATTGCCATGAGCTGCAGTGGCTGAGACTTATTAGTGAAGAGGGTTTGGAGCAGAGCAGTGCTTGCTGCTCTGAAAAGATCAGCGTCCTCCAAAGTGGAGTGCGGCTGCCTCTCTGCCCACCCATAAAGCATCTCCTAGGATGCTGCTGTGAACCTGGGCATCTGTGTGTGCCTGTTGCCTGAGAGACTACCTATCCTAGGGCCTAATTCTCTGGGTATACTGAGGACTTTTTTTTTTTTAAATAGCTGTGGCCTTAAAATCAGTGTAAATGTAATTCATGTTCACTTCTAGGTCCCCTTTCAGCTGGCCTGGAGGGATAAAATGCCTTAAGCTTAAATTAGAATCAAGCCCCCAGTGCTTTCCTCTGTGTGAGAATAAAGATCTTATAATAGAATGAAAATTGCTCTTTGTATTTCCAAGGTGTATTTCCACTTGTTTTTTCTCTTGCTTATTAGGTTGGTGTGAGTAGGCCATTTACTCATTATCCCCTGCTAAGACATATATAATAATAACAATTAATAATTAAAGTACATAGCACTTTATTGGTTTACAGAAAATTCTGTTGTTGCTTTATGTCATTTACGTGCATTCAGTGTGTATGGTAAACTTGCAGTTGTGGGGTAAAGCAGTAAGAACATTACCTTGACCTTTTAAAAATTTTATTTTTTTTTTTTAAATTTTGCCTTAACAATGCTCAAAATGTGCAAGATTACCATGGCAGATTTCCTGAGCTCTTGGTATACTAAAGCCAAACGTGCTCTACACAGTCACATCTACCTCTGCCATGGCCCCAGCATGCACAGAGGTTTAAATATGTTTCCAGCCAGCATGTTTTAAGATGCATGTGTCTACGTATTTGTTGGAGGTTACCGCCGCCTGCGGTGTTACCCAGCCATGCCATGGCTGTGGTGTGAAGCTGATTTTCCAGGACGTGCCCACGACACTGGAGCTCAGCCGGTGCCGTTCGTGTGCTGGTACCTGGGGCTGCTGCTTCAGCTCGCGGTTTCCAAGAATGACATTGAAGCTCGGGTGGGTGGGGGTTACCCAGTGATAAAATGTGCGTGTAGAGTTATATGATCCATGTGCATTAAGTGCTTTTAATTGTCAGCAAAAGTATCCACGCAGATACTCAGGGAAGGAAGCTCCTTGCCCTTTCTCTTTTCCTGTAGATGAGAGCAAATGTCATTGCTTGCTAGCATGGTGACTGCATTGTCTATTAAACTGATTTTTCCTTTTAATGGGTCCTACTTGAGTCACATTACAGCCAGGCTAGATTGCAGAGGAATTCTGATGTCCTGACACTTGATGGTGTGTTCCCACTCTGCTGGTTTAAATGGGAGAAACTGGGAAGAAGGGCGGAGAAGGCAGCCGGAAAGGCGTTGCTGCAAGTGTGGTGCTTTATATATTTCATCAAAGCCTCTGAGCTTCAGCTATCACTGATGTCCGCCTTATGCTCTCCAACTTTTTTTGGTTCTTCTAAGTAAAGGGACTTGTTTGAAAGAGTTCAGAGCTACTAATTTAAAAATATCCATCTACCAAGGCTCTGATTTAGTGTGTGCATAATTATAAGCACTAAAGTAGGGCCACTGAAATGAGAGGGGCAGTTGATTAGTGTGTTCACAATTGCTCACAGACTTAAATATTTTCTCTATTCAAGGCCTAAATGCAGAACGAGCGTATTAGAAGTCACTAAAGTGTCATTGCTGCTACAATGAAAATTGCAGTTGTTTTGCTTTTCTTAGCCCATTAGCACATCATGGTTAACTTAGCATTGGCCCCACATTTACCTGCTGTTGTAACCACGCATACTGCTACCAGAGCATGCTGATCAGCTTGTGGAAATGGGATTTCCCCCATCTCAGCAGGCAGGTTATGTTCCTGGAGCTCCAGCTCCAGTTCCCCAGGCTGCCCGGCCGGAGCCCCCAGCTCCCCCAGCTTCTCCCCTAGGTCTCAGCTTCTCTGCCTGGGGTGCAGCGGTGACAGGACAGGGCTGCCGCCTTCCAGCCACTCCTCCCTTCTCCTGGCAAGCGCTCTGCGAGTAAATACGCTGATGGTCAAAGAGCCAGGGATGGTTGCAGCAGCTTAAATTCCCTGTTGTTGTCCAAGATTGGAGGTGCTTAGGTAATTTTTATAGTATGCATCTGTCTGCTTTTATGTAGCATATATTTACCAGGGAGTTAGGGGGAAGTTTGTCTTCCCTGTGAGAACGCCTTCCTTTTTAAGTGATATTTCTCAGTTGTTGCGTGTGGTTTGTGGTTGGTTAGAAGCGGGCAAGGCTTTGAGAGCAGGAGGTCTTAGCCTGATCATCTTTTCCAAACCCTGTTTCTCTGTTGTGAAAGGCATCTGCAATGACAGAGTCTTTTCAGGCTGCTTTGGACTTTCTTTCCCCTCTCAGGCTAGCCAGCTCTCTGCCACCTGGCTCTGCGTGTACTGGGTGCTCCTCATGTTTAGGAAGGACTAACTCGGCTTCTGGCATCACCTTCCATACTTTTGGCTAGATATTCTTGATTGCGTCTTGGAGTATTCTTAAAGCAGATTGTGTTTAACGTCTTTAATACCAGTTAATCCTGAGTATCTGTCTGAAATTTCAGAGCTTTGTTTTGTGGCCTGGATAAAATAGGCTCATAGTTTAGCTACTTTAATTCCAGATTAAAAAAAAAAAAAAGTACAATGATGCGCTTCGTAGCCCTGGCTAAACCCAAATCTCGGCCCCGTTTTGTGTTTTGATGGGCGTTGCTGACTCAAGGTGGGTGGGGAGGGCAGGAGACAGGTGCCCTTGGCGCGTAGCTCCGAAGTTACCTGAGGGGAGGCACATCAGGAGATGCGTGCCTTTGGCGAGTAGCTCCGGAGTTACCAGGGGGAAGCGCGCGAGTCCACTATGCTTTAGGTTTCCAGTAACAGCCTTCTCGTTTTGTTCTGTCTCCAGCAGTCCTATGCACCAGCTCCCCACCCCATGGCTCCTCCCAGCCCCAGCACAAACAGCAGCAACAACAGCAGCAACAACAGCAGCGGAGAGCAGTTGAGTAAAACCAACCTGTACATTCGAGGCCTTCCACCCGGCACCACCGACCAGGACCTTATCAAGCTGTGCCAGCCGTAAGTGCGCTTAAAACACTTGGTGTCTTTGGGTAGGGAAATGTCAAAGCTGGCCTTTCAGTTTATGCTGATGTATGCCCACAAAAAGACATTAGAAGCCTCCTGCGCTTGAAGGTTAACTGTTATTTCTGTAGTTTGAACAGCTAATTAATGCCTGTTGAAAACCTTCTTTTGGGGGATAGAGAGGTGAGGGCTTTCACTTTGACTTGTGTTTATTTTAATCTGGTTTCTTTTATATGTTGAAAGAAGAATTTGCATGGCAAGAAAATCTCCCTAATGACAGATTTTATAGTTACAATGATCTGTGCGTCATAACCCCGGTGCACAACAAAACATGGGTGTTCCCACCTCAGTCGTTTATCACATCGTGCTATTGCTGTGTCACACATTGCCGGGCTCAAAGATGGAGAAGTATGAAACCCACTGAAGGTGGCCTTACAGCAAACATCTAATTAACTGCAGTTCCTGAAAATCAAAGATGTAGAAAGTAGCACCTTCTACCTCCCTGTTTATCTTGAGAGCTGTGTTTGCGGATTGCACCGATTAAATATCAGTTTTATTGTATTTTATTCCTGTTGAAACTGAAGAGGCAGCAGAAGGGAGCTCCTTGATACTCGTGCATCGTCAACAGAATTGTTTCCTCAAGTGGTGCACCCTGTTACCCCTCCTCACTCGACTGAATGTAATGGGTAATAGGAGTAGAAATGAGAACTTGACTGGATTTCCAGAGTCTCAGGTTATTATTGATGATGTGTGGCAGGGGAATAATCCAATCTGAGATTCCAAACAGAGGTTACCTGGGTAGAATTTAGGATAACACATTTTTTGTGTTGAAATAAGAACACAGAGAGATTTGGAAAACAAAAATCCACTCCTGTGGTTATACAGAACTGCAGTGCATTTGCCATAGTCTATTGCTAAAGACAACAGCATCTCTGGTGTTTTTCATCACAAATCGGCCTTTCACATAGAGATCAATAAATGAAGTTTGTTAAAGTAAGGAACAGTCTGGGGCTGATCCACTGACTTGAATCCAAACGGCTGTTGTTTTGAAGCTTGCAATAGGAGTAACAATTTAATGGGATGTTACAATTTTATGGCATTCTGCGTTTCCCAATTTTGACTTCCTGAAAGACTTGCCTAAGTATTCTTTATGTGGATATGGCTGGCCAGGACTGGACCTAACCATCTTAGTGAAGTGATACTTGAACTTCAGCAAAATTATGTGAGCTTAAAACTCTTCCCGGTGATTTTCTCCTACTAACCCTGCTACAGGTACAACTGGCTCACTGTTCACTGGAGTATAGCTTGCTGGTGATTTTTCATACTATGTGCAAGCTGAATTGCAAGTGTACCTGTCTCACATTTGTACAAACTACATTCATTGACACTTCCTGCTTGTGACGGTCACAGATAATCCCAGTTCAAGGGCCAGATCCTCAGTAGGTATAAATTGACTGTAGTCTGCTGACGTTCAAAAACCTGTTCAGCTATACATCTTCTTCAGTCTGACCCTTTCTGAGTTCAGACAAAGGCTTTCAGCCGTTCAGGAGTGAACTGACTGTTCCTAGAAGAGCCTCATGGCTTTGGCGCTTAGTGCTGCAGTCGTGGTGTGAGGCTGCGGTGTGAGCAGCGCTGCTTGAACCATGAAGTTCAGAGAGCGTGTCCATACCCCCTGTCTGCACGTGGGAAAGGCATGTCAAGTACCTGAGAGCTTCCTTTTGACACTGGGGCAAAATTTTTAATGCGCTCCACTAAACTTAATCTGGTCTATGATTAGAGGGCTTTGTCTTGCTATCATGGAGTTCCTGTGTGAACAGATGCTCTTTAAGAAAAAAGCTGACGTTAATTTTGCTGATTTTTCTATCCTTTGGCTGAATGGAAATGAAGAGAAACCAGATATTTGTTCTGTCTTTTTTCAGAGTATTAAAAGTATTTGTCAAAACAAAATGGAAAGACAATATAGAGAAATGTAAACATCTGAAAATACAAGAATTTGTCATGGCAGCATGTAGAGTTTTAAAGTAATACATTGCAAGACATTTTCTTTACCTTTGCAGATGGTTACATGGTAAAGGTGGATGAAGTTCCAAATACCCACATTCCCTTCTCCCCCCACCGAAAATACAGTATGTATAGCAGCAATCTGCTGCTGTATGAGCAGGACGCATATTTATCTTCTGTAGAGCTCTCTCTTAGCTTACATGACTGGGGTTTTACCATGCGTTAGAGACTTCATGTAAACCAGTATTCACAAAGCAGCAGAAGGTGCTGGCTCCTAGGCTTCCTCCACAGAAATATTAGCGTAATTTGCTACAAGATGCGAGGTGAGAACTTGAATTCCAATCCATAAACCATATTATTATTTTCTAGTGCAAGATTTTTGGTGAGCGGCGTTTAAGGGAGGTATTCACCAAAGCTAGCTCATGCCCGGGACACTGGTTCCCCTAGGCTAGCTGCCATTACCTAAAATGAGCCCTTCTGAACCCATTTCCTCTGCTCTAGCATGTGACAAGGCTGCCAGCAGTACAACTGTCACTTGTAGTGTCTGACATTTGGCAAGTCTGAGGAATAATGTTCTGAAAACACAGTATTTCTCTCTCAGAAGTACAGGGAATGCTGGAGATGCTTATAGCTATGTACATTTATCATAGCCCATCCCATTTCCAGGTTTGTTCCTGCAAGGAGACCACTGTCTAAGTGACATATAACACTTTATTTAACTGCGTTTTGCCAGGTGGGTTATGGAAGAGAAACCCTTTAATCAGAATTGTTTGGTAAAATACAGAATCACAGAATCACAGAATAGTAGGGGTTGGAAGGGACCTCTGTGGGTCATCTAGTCCAACCCCCCTGCCAAAGCAGGGTCACCTACAGTAGGCTGTAGAGGACCTTGTCCAGGCGGGTCTTGAATATCTCCAGAGAAGGAGACTCCACAACCTCCCTGGGGCAGCCTGTTCCAGTGCTCCATCACCCTCAGAGGGAAGAAGTTCTTCCTCATGTTCAGACGGAACTTCCTGTGCCTCAGTTTGTGCCCATTGCCACTTGTCCTGTCAAACGGGACTGTTTTGATGAATCCTGCTTTTCTGTATTTCTGCTGTGTGTTTTTGGGTGGTGTGTATTGCACACTAAACAGAGAACAGCAGACTGGAGTACCACTGATGCTTGAAGTGCAGAGTCCATTACACATGATGTCAGACGTTTCTGACAAATGTTCCGACACTATCAAACCTTTTATCAATTTATGAGTAACCTTGTCACAGTAATCTGTCAAACTGTTCATATAACTAAAGGAAAACAAGTCATCATAGGCTATACAGTAGCTGAGTAAATAAAAATAAAATTGCTACTGGAAGATTTTCTTTTTGTGTGGTTCTGATCCTCAGTATTTGGTTTAACGTGTCAAGGAAAGTTGCATCAAATTCTCTTTTGCAGCAGAGAGCTCTTAGGTTGCAACTGTATCTTTTGGGACTTAATACAAAGACTCTGTCAAAGGTTACACTGAAGAAGAGTGAATAGGATTGTTTAGCAGCAAGAATATGTTGTTCTTTTATGTATCTATCTTCTTCTGGATTTTCATAAACATTCAGTAAAAGAACTTCCAAATATGGACCTTTAGTCTCTCTTAAGCTTTACTGAGGTTTTTAAAAAAGAGGCTTTATACCCATCTGTGATCATATTGATCATCAGCGCTTGTTAGTCTAAATTTTTGATTTTAAAATATTTCATTAAAATAGTGGTAAATATCACATCATTAGCATTTATTTCTCTGGGGTACACAATCTCTGCTGGTGCAGTGGTACACACCATTACACATGTATCTTCCCAGTCAAAATATACTGTTCATTAAAAGGAAAAATAATCAACGTTAAGATGTAAAATTACAGATTATAGACAGAAAAATGTGCATGGTGTGTCACTGTACAAGCAAAGTAAATCATTATCTTTGAAATATTCATAATCTGTCACTGATTTTCATGCATGGTGTTATATTTCATCCAGAAGAATTCCAAAATTCTGTTAAAAACATACACAGATGGCTTAGTCCCCTGTTGGTATACTGGACACGTTCCATTCTTACTAACTACATCCCGGTAGAGATAGATGGAAGGAAGTCTCATGCACAAATTAAACATTTGAGCTTTATTACTTTGAAACATTTTTCATTTCAAAAACTCACAGTCTGTCTCTCAGGATTTTGGTCTTTCTGTCTGTCTTTTCTTACGTGTTTGCACTGAAGAAGACGTAGACCAAAACTTTTTTAAAAGAAAAGAAGTTTTTGGAGAAGAGAAAGGGGATTTGGGAAAAGAGATATTAAGTATCTCTTTCTCCACCCACCTTTTCCGCCCAATAAATTTGAGAAGTACACGCTTAAAACAACAACATTTGACTTTAAAAAAAGCCTTGTGCATTGCACTATTAAGACACTGGCATGTATTCAAAAGATAATCCTTGTCCTTCTTGATTGAGTCATGAATTTTTCTTGTCCAGTCTATAGTCCAAAAGAAAGCTGCTTCATCTGCTTTGTTCTTCTTGTTTGGATTAGCAATCTCGTCACCCCTTCAACAAGTTTTGACTTCTTTGTGGTTCAGGGTGAAATTAAAGGACTTAATTAAAAGAATAATGGTAAAAATATCTAAACCTAAAGAGCAGCAAATCTGTATGCTGTGCAGGCTAACTCTTGTGGAAGCTGGGCCAGAATCTCCCAGATAAATGGTTTTCCAGGTATGGCAAATCCCCACTGAATTGTGATTGTCATGTGTTTCTCTAAGTAGTTTCTAGTTCCACATTTTGTGCAGATACTCAAGGGTTTCTGTGTGTTTGGGATTTTGGGGTGGTGGAGTATTTTTTGGAGGGGCAGTGTTTGTTTTTTATTTTTCTTCTGAGGGTATCCCGATTGTCTCCTTGACAAGTCATCAAGTGTGAAATTTTAGCCTCTCATTCCATTTTGAATGTCCTTGGTTTTGTCCCTGTGGAACATCTGAATAAATATTCAGGCT